CTAAACCAGTTTAGGCAATTTTTTTAAAATAGTAAACTACTTTAGACTGTTTTAATAATCGTAAAGTTAATCCACTATTACTCCTAGTTAACCAATATTGATCAACGTATATTAACACCTTGTTTTTAGTCTACTTAATCTATCTATCTTGCTACAAGTAGTTTAATTTGAGTTTTTCTCATATAACATGAACTCCTCTCTTAATATGACAGTGATGCTGCTTTCCCACAAAGAGGAGTGGGTTTAGAAAAGATCAGCCCTGAAAAATTCACACCTCACCTTATCCCACAGATTTCTATCTTCGATGAGAAGGTCTCAACAAGTATGGAGCTCAAACGAAAATTACACACGAAAATGTTTGCTTTCGAGACCGATAGGTCCTGGATTCGAATTTCGCGGACGGTATAGTGTATGCGCGCTGCTAAGGAGTCCCATACTAGGTTTTTCATAGTGATCTAGTTTCAATTGACTCATGAATTCAACTATATATGAAAAACACTTAGGGTTATAAAAAGTCATATGCTACATGTCATGCTGACCGTAGTTCATATTAAGATTAGATGGTGGTTGGAGATAGTCGACAGGAAACCCTGGACCCAGGTTTCGTGCTACTTGGCAAACGTCAGCAAGGTGTACCTGTGATCTTGAGGGAACTAGTGCTCCCTGAAGGATTCGATCCCGCGTCACCCAGCTCCACAGTCAGAGACGTTACCACTGAGCTATCTGAGCCGCGACCGACTTCCTGTAGGACTGAGATTTAGTCACAATTGATTGATCACTGGGTGGTGATCAATGTCTCAATATATAGTGCACACAGTGTTGAGTCACCTAGACTGGTGGCCACATTGCAACATGGTCGATAGCATTCGATCTGCACCAATAATAAGGACTTGACACACATGACATTGATCATCACCCAGTGATCAATCAATTGTGATAGTTCATATTAATTTAATACAAGAATATTGTATGCCTTTATATTAATTCTTTAAAAACAACATTCATATAATGAAGCTTTTTAATATAATACGTAACCCTGTCAGTTGATTGTATTTTCCCTTGAAGTAAATCTTTTTGATCAAATAAAAGGGAAGATTTTCAATTTATTGAATGTTCAATTAATAAAATTCACTCAACTAAACGTATTGATTTGACTAATCAATAATTTCAGAATCATAAATGTTTTCCCGCTTCCTGGTAACAATGTTACAAGAAGGTACATTTGAGAAAGAATTTTCTTACTTACGCCTATTACCCCAAATAGAATATAGGCCGTCGATCACCATTCTCCAATACACTCTGTCTTGGGCTTTCCTTTCTAGTTCTATCCAATTGTTGTTCATTCTTCTCATGTCTGTCTCTACTTCTCAGAGTTATGTGTTCTTTGGTCTTCTACTCATCTTTTGGCCTTGAGGATCCCATGTAAGGGCTTACCTTGTGACGCAGTTGGCTGGTTTCTTCAATGTGTGTCCTATCCACTTTCAGCGCTTCTTCTTCCACTGGGAGCTCCTTGAGGCTACTGCCAGTCTAAAGCCCGGATAAAGGAGGAGGGTTGGGCATGGAGTTACCAACCCTATCTCGTAGAAAACTAACTCGCTAAAAGAACGCTAACCACAAAGAAATAATTCAAATCATTTAAACTATGCCCCGGGAGTCAGAAGGTCTTGATTTAGAAGAATTATGACACCTCATGTTTAAAACCGAGTTCCTACGGTAATCACGAGGCTGAATCCCCTTCTGACAACCAGAGCAACCATTATCTTCGGTACATGGAATACCCCTTTTTTAAACAATCACTCTTTGGTTATACACACAAATTATTACTATTATTATTATTATTATTATTATTATTATTATTATTACTATTATTATTATTATTATTATTATTATTATTATTATTATTATTATTATTATTATTATTAATATTAGGCGACCAATGCAAACTGTAATGATTAAACAAGGAGTTATTTTATGGGTAATAAATTTATTAGAAAATATGCATAATCTATCTGATTACACATTGGAATATGCAGTTGCACTTTGTATGAATTTATGTTTAAGAAGTTCGGGTAAGTTAAATTCTATTTGAAATGATCTATATTCAATTATATTTAATAAAACTATTCACAATTAGATAACTAGGGATAGTGTTGTAAGTAAAGACAATCGAATGTATTTGAACACACTAATCATTCTTTGTTCTTGTTCTCTTTTTTATTCGATCTTCTTAACCTTCTATCGTCAGACATCTCACTATCGATTGATGATGTATATCGATATCAGTAATATACAGCACACTCGTCCTCCTTATAAAACAGTTGTCCTTGCATTGGTTCTGCTCGTTGTGCCACTTTGTTCTTTTCTGCAGTCTGTGCCACGCTCTTCGTCAGAATGTCGAGTCTGCGACACTCTGATCTTCATAGCTCTGTCGACCCGCCGTGCGATCAACGTCCGATGTCCAGCCGGCACCTAGGACGTTCAACGCCTGCGCTCCAGTGACCTGCTGAGTCACCTGAATACAGAAGCCGCACGTCTCATCACTCCTCTTCGTCGACAATACCCGCTGCAACTGACGCCGCTCCTCCAGAACAATCCACTCTAATACTAGATTATTGTACATTATAGTATATATCATTTACAAAAAGTTATACTGAACATATCATGAAGACTTTGAATACATTGATCTTGTGAAGATCTAAGAATATTACGTAAAATTGATTTCAAACCTCACAGTTAATGCACAGAATGCGAATATGTATAGTGGATCATTTTATCTACCTACTGTTAACGAACAAAGATCTATTTTTACATTGTAAAATCGTGAAATTACTTACGCCAGTCACCCCTGGTGGAGGAGCATAAGCCACCCACACGAATCCTCCATCTAACTCATTCCTGAACTGCTTCTAATCGCCGACTTAATGTGTTCCTTGGTCTTTCTCTTTTCTGTTTTTCTTCAAGATTCCGAGTTAGCGCTTGCCTCGTTATTCAGTCTGATGATATATGCGCAATCCACCCCCAACACTGTCTCCTAATTTCTTATTCTGTTGGAAGTTGGTTTGCTCTCTCCCATATCGGACTGTTGCTGATGATATTCGGTTAACGGGTGTTGAGTGTTTTCGCAAACGACTGTTTACAAATACTTGTAATTTTTGATGATGATTGTAGTAGTTCTCCAAGTTTCAGCTTTATACAATAGAGCAAACTGTCTTGATATTCGTATTGAATATTCTGATTTTCATGTTGATTGACAGTTGTTTTAAGTTCCACCTGTTCTTCAATTGTGGGAATGCTGACGTTGCTTTGCAAATCCTTATCTTTACACTTGAATCAGATCCTTCTAGTTCATCGATGATACTTCCAATTTATTTGAAAGATTCCATATCTTCCAGAGCTTCTTCATCAAGTGTGATTGAGTTGATGTTCTTCGTATTGTATTTGAGGATATTGCTTTTTTCTTTATATATGTTGAGGTCTACATCTGCAGAGGTTGCTGTGACACTAGCTGTTTTGACCTGCATATGTTGGTATGCATGTAATAGAAGGGCTAAATCATATGTAAAATTCAAATCACCGAGCTGTATCCAAGCTGTCCATATGTATCACTTTAAATGCATCGTAGTTATTTTTCAACTTTCTAGGTAAACGATGCTGCATACCAATTACAGGACGTTTACTTAATGTTCTAATGGATCTGTTAAGTATTGACAATATTGATATAGTGCCATATATCAACGGTGCATTATATTCTATCTTAGCGTTATCAGAGATAAGAAAAACAGCTGAGAAAATGGTAAGTTCAGTACTTCTTATTATTTTTCTTTCTCTTAACTATTATTACGTGTCATAGTTAAATATGGATTAAATTAATGTTAGATGGTTGGAAGTAGTCAGGAAGTCATCTATGCAATCTTAAAGAATTTGATGTTTATTATGGTATTTATCTTAGCACCACTAAACTTTTGGAATGAAAACTGATCTAAGTTATTTTTCGTGGTTAATATCACTTTAATCTTTTCAATTTTGTCGAGTTTTACTTCACCATAGTTTATTTATACTGTAATGTATGCTACTTATGTTAACAGACATAAGTAGTATGTAGCATTGATTGAAAGTAGAATGTCTGCCAGTAGAAGACTGAATTGAAGAGATTTATTTACTTATATACTTAAACACGTAAATGTTGATACAAGGAAGCAAAAAATAGATATGCGCCACATAATTCATTCGATTTGTGTGAGGGCTGATATACTGCCTGGGTGACCAAACCGAAACAGGTGATTTTCTTAGGGATCCACACCCGGAGCCTCCAACCTAAAGGTGTGATCCACAAGGCAGTGGAGCAACGTCAAGAGATGCAGTCCCATGGTAGCCGGTGACCAACAATTGTTTCATATGCCATTTGTTCCTTCAATATACTGGAGACCATGTGCACCATTTGTTTGAAATGAGGGTTTTCCAACTCCCTTGGGTGGACTCTCCGTGTCCACCAACCCGGTCAAAGCGCCGTACATTCGTGTTTCATCCTCTCAATTTTTTATAGAACACCCGTGGCTAGAGAAGGCAGTGAGCAGGACTACCCTGGAAGTTGTTGTATGCACGTGGTTATATGAGAGCATTTGGAGAGGGAGAGCTGATTCTCCTCACTTTCTGCCGTACCAGGACATTTGAGGGCAATTGAAGAAAACAGCAAGGGGAACTAAGAGAAATTGAAATAACAGAATTGAAATAATCATGAAGCAAACAAAAGGACAACTGATGGAAGATGTGCGAATAATGTATTGAATATATGATATTCACTGTCATTTTACGTCAAAAAAATTAAGTGGCTTCCACCCCCGCCTTATGAAAAACATCATTTTAACTAATTATGCTATTTTTGATTAACTAACAGACTTCAGTCAACCCCTAGAACCTAAATGCAACGGTAAATACACTTCAGTAGTGTACTTTATTCAATAATGTTCATGAATTGCTTTTCAGAAGGTTCTCGTTTGTTTTGTTGTCTTTTCATCATAGCAATCGTTATGTAATAAGTTGGAACACAGTGGAACATTGTATATTGGTATTGTTTATTCAATAGATTGTATGTTGTATATTTATTGAAATAGTCAAAGCCATATTGATCTCTAGCTAATTTGTTAATCACAGATAAACAAATTTCTTATAGTGGAATTCATAAATCAATTGAAGCTAGACCACCATGGAAAACCTGGAAGCATTAAACGGCCGTTTCGTCCCAGTATGGGACTCTTCAGCAGTACGCATCCACGATCTTGTCTCACGAGATTTAAACCCAAGACCTATTCAGAATTTGAAAGCCTAGTGCAACAAAATTTAAACTGAATTCTACATTTGAAATTAGTAGAATATTATAGAACGATAAAGTTATTTTACAAAACCAGTGTATGTGCATCTCATTTCATAAGACTGGTTAGTCAAAGATGTGAATTCCTCTGTATCATCAGGTTGGTGATGGGTATGTGTGTGTGTGGGGGGGGTGTACAAAGATTAGAATTTCAAAGACAATGCCAGATTCCTCAAAATTGTAGCTACGAAAAAAGTTCATAATTTCCTGTTGATAAACTCTAACTATTAAATAAAAAGTTGGATTATGATACCAAATCACTTAAATTAATGATCTCACATTGATATTTGAGATGGTGGAGAAGATTTTTAGCTTAGATGGATGATTTTGATGGAGTTTTGTTCTCTGAGCAATACATTTCGAACAATCTGTTCATACATTATATACTTCTTAATAACGTTTATATATATAGAAATAAAAGGTCAAGTAGACTAAAAATGGAAGGTAAGAGGAGACAATGATTATAAAGAAATTAATGTGGATTCCCATTAACAGTCGTCTATGTGCTGTTCGGCTAAACGGCTCCGTAAGAACTTGGAAAGATGGGGACACACATCGTTGCCTTTTTATCGTTTCTGCCTACTCCCCCACTGACTGCAGCTCGGATGAAGGGAAAGATGAATTTTACAGTGAGGTTAGATGCAAGGTATTAAGGAATGATGATAAATCACTTGATGAGGTTGTGAATCTTCATCGACTGAGATGGTTGGGCCACGTTGTGTGTATGCTTGAACACTGATTACCACAACGCACAATGCTAACCGGTGTTGGGGATGGTTGGAAGAAAGTTAGGGGCGGACAAACTAAAACGTGTCATCAGTCCTTGAAGTCACTAACTTCTGGTCTGAGCCTTGTTAATAGATGTAGACTACTTGGTTGAGGTCAGCTTGGATATTTTAAGTTACGATATATTCGCGTATAATTTAAATGTATCTTCATACTAAATTATGCTTGATTTGTTCTTTAATCATCATGGGAACATCTGGACAGAATAGAATCGAATACGAGTATTGTTGAATTTCGTCACGTCCAATTCCATTCCAATATGCCTAAATTAATTATAAAAGCAAAGCAATTATTGAACTATACAATACTATGATTAGTGGAATGAAAAGTGACTTAGAACCTCACAAATATATGTATGGATCTAAGATGTTACATAGTATTGCAGAACTAATCAGTTATGAGACGGGAATTCTAAGATTGTAGAGTGAAGCCTAAAAACGTTGCGTTGGCCTTTATTCTCCCGACGAATAAATTCGTAAAGCATATGTGTTGAAAACATATTGGACCGATGTGAAAGAATTGATTGTCTTGTAATCGAGTAGTAATTAGACAGTATGTATGCTAATATATGCGTAATGCTTACTAGATTTCGTTGACTATCGTAATCAGTGGTTGGAGACTCTTGATGACATGACTCAGAATCGATCACAATGGCGTAGGTGGTGTATACACTCTTTATCTTCCCCTAAATTCTGAGATTAAAGTTACTTTATACCTTTGTTTCTAATTCTTTCTTCCTGTACTATGTCCTTATACCACCATTGACTTAACCACTCCTATGAATTTGGTGTTCATGTTGTTGTGCTAATGAGTGAGGTGTGTCAACTTGGGCCGATCCATATATGTGCCTGATCCTATGTTGTAGCTGACTGACTGACTGAAGATGGAAACAAATTGTTTTTGAATACACAAAAATGGGGTTTGAATTTTCGTATGGCTAAAGCTTCAATGGGCCCTTTAAAACTTTTGTACAACAACGCAAAAGCTGAGTTAAGATCAATCTTATGACCTGTTTAAATTTTATGTTTGGTAATAGAGGATGATGGATGTTTATCACTTACACTTATTGGGTCATTCGATTCTATTTATTTCTGCAACCATTCAGGTACATGTTCACATTACTGTAATTTTGAGGTCACAATTACTGCTCCCTATATATGTGTGACTACATACTTTATTTATTTATTTATTTTAACACATAGATATTGGTACAAGGCGGCACCAAATACATATGCGCCACACAAATCTCATTCGATATGTGTGGGGGCTGTGATACTGCCCGGCCGCCCAAACCGAAGCAAGTGGTTTTCTTAAGGGGTCACACCCTGAGCCTTTGACCTAATGGTCTAACCCACAAGGCAGTGGAGCATCGTATGGAGATGTAGTCCCATGGTAGCCGGTGACCAACAATTGGTTCATACGCCATTTGTTCCCTTAGGATACTGGAGCCCATGTGTACTATTGATTTGGAATCTGGTTAAGGCTTCGAATACTCGCTTTTTGTCCTCTCATTTTCGTTAACAACACCCCCACCACGAGAAGGCAGTGAGTAGGACTTCCCTGGCAGAGGCTATATACGCGTGGCCATGTGAGAACATTTCGAGAGGGGGAGCGGACTCTCCACACTCTCGGTCATACCAGGGCATTCGGGGTCAATCTTTTTCATCTTTTTTAAGTTTTTGATGAAAAATGAACCTTGTTATTTCCTTAATAATCACCTTTACTGTGTAATACGTTCTGTTAATGACTGGTTTAAGTCTCTGTTTCAATAAACGGTTATTTAAGTCACCTCTAAATAGCAAGATGGTGTAGACAGGCTTTTTTTTCTCTACCAAGGCTACAATTAGTCTCACTGTGCTCATTGATAACTATGCATAACTATGTTGTATTGTGTTAATATATATCACATAATTCTAATAATCTTCATCTTCTTATTACTCATTCATTGTATAAAGTAGTAATGAATAAAATTTATTCTCTTTCATCGTAACATACAATGCACACGCCAATTTTTTTATATTTTTTTTTCAAAAAAAAAGAAAGAATTAGTTGCCATGTCTACATGTATATATAATAAACACAACCATCAGTTTACTGTAAGTTCATATATGGATAATCATTTAAAGAAAAAAAATGGCATAAAATGTTAATCAATAACTTCAGTCTAACTACTAATACTACTACTAGTAGTAGTAGTAGTAGTAATAATAATAGTAATCTCCCCCCCTCTCTCTCTCAAAGTATGTATTTCATGTAAGTGTATCGGTACATACCTGAGTATAGTTAAGTAGTGTATTAGTATGACTTATATTGTAATTCAGTAGTATAATGCATGATATTGTTCTAATTGAAGTTTACTAGTTAATAAATAACATAATACTATAATGAACTAACTCTATTATCATTATAAATTCGATATTCTTTTAGAAGAAAAGCAATAAATGTAGATAAATATGCATAATTAACTAACATTACAACATTCAGTTCATTTTGAGTATTACTGATATTGAATGATGTCACTATATACTATATGAACTGATCTAATAGGTTATGTTAAATTTGATACTATCATTTGTAATAATGTTATGCCAATGACGACTTGATAGATTTTAGATGGTAGTTGGAGGTAGTCAACAGGAAACCCTGGACCCGGGTTTCGTGCTACTTGGCACTCGTCAGCAAGGTGTACCTGTAATCTTGAGGGAATTGGTGCTCCCTGATGGATTACATCCCGTATCAACCAGGTTCATAGTCAGAGACGTTACCACTGAGCTATCCGAGTGGTAACGTCTCTGACTGTGAAGCTGGGTGACACGAGATCGAATCCGCCAGGGAGCACCAGTTCCCTCAAGATTACAGGTACACCTTGCTGACGAGTGCCAAGTAGCACAAAACCCGGGTCCAGGGTTTCCTGTTGACTACCTCCAACTACCATCTAAAATCTCAATACATAGTGCCCGCAGTGTTGAGTCACCTAGACTGGTGGCCACATTGCAACATGATCGATAGCATTCGATCTGCACTAATAAGGACTAGACAAGCATGACATTGATCACCACCCAGTGATCAATCAATTGTGACGATTTGATAGACTTTAGCGGTGATTATTAATTAATGGTATCATTTTTGTAGCTCTTCTAGAATTACTGTCGATTCTAAGCTTGGATAAAGGAGGAGGGTTTGGCATGGGGGTTAGCGATCCTATCTTGTAGAAAACTAATTCTCTATAAAAGAAAACGCTAATCAGAAAAAACAATAATTCAAAACATTTCAACTGTGCCCTGGGAATTAGAAAGTCTTGATTTAGAAGAGTTATGATGCCTTATGGTGAAAGTCAATTCTCTTCGGAAGTCACAAGGTTGATCATTCTTGTCAATATGAATGAAATGAATAGACTCAATGTATGATCTAAGTATCTTTATTAATATGGCAAATATAATTTGTGACTCAGAAGAGGTTTTTGATTGCCCCCAAATGCCCTAATATGGCCGAGAGTGGGGTGGGGTCGCTCTCCCTCTTGAAATACTCTCACACGGCCATGCGTATACAGCCTTTTACAGCAAAGTCCTACTCACTACCTTCTCGTGGCATTACTGCTGTTTACAATAATGAGAGGACAAAAAGCGAATGTCCAGCGGTTTAACCGGATCCCAAACCTATGGTGCAAATGGACTCCAGTATCCTGAAGGAACAAATGGCGTATGAACCAATCGTTGGTCACCGACTACCATGGGACTGCATCTCCTTACGATGCTTCACTGCCTTGTGGGTTAGACCTTCAGGTCGAAGTCTTCAGGCATGACCCCCTAAGAAGACCACCTGCTTCGATCTGGGCACCCGGGCAGTATCACAGCCCTCACACATATCGAATGAGATTTGTGTGGCGCACGTATATTTGGTGCCCCCCTTGTATCAAATTCTATGTGTTTAAATAAAAATAATAATAATTAATGTTCCATATACTTTGAAATGGATTATTTTATTAGAAAATATTCATTATCTCTTCAGACAATATAATCCAAACCATATTATGATGGAATAATAGTTTGTTATCGGTCTCTGGGTAAATATCGACCGTCAATTTAGACTATATTAGTTAGTTAAGGTTTATGAGGTCAGTAATTTTTCTACAACTGTACTTGTTAACCAACAGTTTCTTTTTTTCAATGATTTACGTTAGTTCCTGTAGATGATATCGGTTCTAGTTTATCTGAGATCATGATACATATATGTGTAAATGAGAAACGTAATGTATTACAAATGATGGTTCAATGAATGTAATCTATTTATCTTCTTGTAAGTATACACCTTTAAGAAATCCTTAACTTTGGTACAAACAACTATTCAGTATAGTTTTACTCTTTTGATCATTTGATCATTTCATAATCAAAATCACTGTTCCCTCGGTTTTTGTGGATATTATAGTAATTTAATAGTTGAGTTCATGAATCAATTAAAGCTAGACCACCATGGAAAACTTGGAAACACTGAACGGCTATTTCCTCCTAGTACGGGACTCCTCAACAGTGCTCATTCACGATCCTGTCTTGCGAGATTCGGACCCAGGACCTATCGATCTCGCGAGAGAATGCTTAATCTCTAGACCACTAAGCCGGTTAGCCGGCATCCAACGGTGTTAATATCTAAATTAAACTAATCCACGAAATTCAACGACACACCCATCATTGTCTTCAATGAGGTACTGTCTCACAACAGACCTGGTTGAACTGCACTGGTCACTGCTCCTCATTAGAAATGCAGGAAATGCCTCTTAGAGACTGTCACTAGTGAACATATGATTATTATAATCATAGAGGGGTTTTATGTATATCATAATAATTAAGTAGTTGAATTCATAAGTCAATTAAAGCTAGATCACGAGGTGGTATCATGGATGAGCATTGGTAAGGAATCCCATACTAAGATGAAACAACCGTCCAGTTCTTCCAGGTATTCCTTGGTGGTCTAGCTTCAACTGACTCATGAATTCAACTATTAAATCACTAAATAATTATCATTGAAATGTAATTATCTTATTGAAATTTCTTAAAAATTAATATACACTTAATAAATGTTTGAATGCAAAAACTATTGAATAACTAAATCATATGACACGTCTATGTATATAAAGCGAGAGAGAGAGAGAGGTAGAGAGACGTAACCATAGTAACACATATTACCGCATATATTCTCTGAAAGAAATAGATTTCACAAATACGGGTGCCAGTATTTTTCTTATTTCAACTAAACCATTTCTTATGATTAGCTTCCTTTTGTTTTTTCGTTTTTTTTTGGTTTTGATACTCTTTTATTTGATGTAAACATTTGAGAAAACCAACACAAACATAAACTGCATTCTGATGAACGTATATTACTTATGCTCGGAAAACAGTAGTGAATTCAACAAGCATTTTTGACCTGTTTTTGTTAGATCCCGATTAGAATAATGAATGGTAACTTTTGGGATCTATTGATGGACCAATACTAAACGTATATTTTTATCGTATAATTGTGAAATAACTAAACTGTTCATATTCATGTTCCTCTTATTATAAGCTTTATTTCGACCTATGAACCATTATTATACGTTGTACCATTCTTGAATTATGCCCTGTCTATTAATCACTACCTCCCACATTCACAGCCACTTTTGCCTAAATCTTGTACAAATGTTGTTTCCTATTTTATTGGTATGATGTGGTCTGTTTGTTTAGTATATAAACTCAGTATGTTTGAAGTATAGGGATTTATATTGTAGAGGGTGAGATTGGCGCTCGGGGTTTAACTGGCTGAGTTAGACGGGAAGCAAGACCAATCAGGACTCTAGGATGCTCATACAAGTTTATGCGTTTTTGATCCGATCGATAATTCACTGTTTCTGGTTGGCAGCTTCGGGCATAACCGTTTTTTTTTCTTTTTTTTTTCTTGTTTCCATAGAATCTTGGGCATCTTTTAAAAAATTTTATTAAACCAAATCAACCAGAAATGAATCGTCAATTTGAATTTATTTTACAAAGATTAAATTCATGTAAGTTATAGAAAATGTAAATTGTTTATTTGAAGAATACTTCATTCATTACACCTGTGCCCCTCCACCTCTCCCTCCTTGTAGAACAGTCTGTAGCTTTTCAAGAGTTACTGTCGATTCAAAACTCGAGTAAGGGAGAAGGGTTAGATATGGGCACAGTAACCTTATCTTGTAGAAAACAAAACCTTAGTAATAATAAAACGCTAACTGTAATAAACATTTTGGTTTAGGGAATATGAGTTTCATATTAGAATAATTATTTCCTGTGAACATATCAAGTGTTGTTCAGCTCAACTGATCAGATTTTTTAAAAAAAACACAAGTATATTAGAATCCACTCATTCATTAAATAAATGACAAAATGAGCACTGAAAAAAAAAGCCTAAACTATAATCATTCATTAAGCTAAGATGGATAATGGCTAGTAGGGAAATCCAGAATGTGCGTTTCGTCCTATTTGGGACTTGTCAGTTGGGTGTACACCTGTATCGCAGAGTTGATGTTCACTCTGCGACTTCATTCATATATGAAGGTTAACAAAGTAAGGTTATCACACAACAAGATACAGTATATGACACTGAATAAAATTACTTACACTACTTTTATCATTCTATATTCAGTTCTAATTGAATAAACAGTTGAAAACTTTGAAATGTAGAAATTCATTACAATTTATTCAAAGTGTGGATAGAATTATTGAACCAACACATGATGATCAGTCAGTGAAGCAGTTATAAACGTCATACTTGCTTAATTACTTACTTATGCCTATTACTCCCAAAGGAGCATAGGCCACCGATCAGCATTCTGCAACCCACTCTATCCTAGGTCTTCCTTCCTAGTTCTATCCAATTTCTGTTCATTCTTCTTATGTCTGTCTCCATTTCTCGATGTAATGTGTTCATTGGTCTTCCTCTCCTTCTTTGACCTTGAGGATTCCATGTGGGGCCTTGTTTTGTGACGTAGTTGGGTGCTTTCCTCAATGTGTGTCCTATACATTCCCAGCACTGGTTCCTGATTTCTTTCTCCGTTGGAATCTGGTTTGTTCTCTCCCACAGTAATAAACATCATAGAACTGGGTATAAATGTTCAACGGTTCAAATAACAGTATTTAATATTCGTATTAATGAAAGGATAGTAAAATTGAATTAAAATCAAAGGAGCTGATATAATAACAACATCAATGTAAATCAGATACTCTCAAACAGAAAATATAATTCAATAAGAATAAGGATACACTGAACTTGAGTTCATGTTATCAGTTGTTATATGAACATAGATTAGGTTCATAGCATAGACTTAAACCAAATCATAGTCTACACCTTTCATCACAAATGTTTAGTTAGTTAGTTAACCTTGATAAAGTTGGAGAAGGAGATTGGCTTTTCAGGAAAAGAGAACAGCTTCAGTAAAGATTTGCGAAATTGTAGGACTCGAGAAAATACAGCAAATGAATACATTAATAGTCCAATTTGGTACAATTCTTGCTATCAAAAGATCTATCACTCTAGTTTTCATCAGAACTATTGGCCTTTCTAAGCGATAATCCTGTTAGGTATCAAAACAAATGATTTACTTCTCCAGTCATGCCTAACACATAAATCTTTACCATAAGCCTTTCAAATAGTGCTTATTTATGATAGAGTAAGAAACTAAATCGATCTTCATCAGTTCCAACAGAATGGAGTGAACCCGATCATCTTATTACTCACGTCGGTTCATAGGAATACTTTCCACTATCCTCGTGACATCTTGAATAGGTGTGAATCAAACTTTCCCCGGAAATGATAGTCTTGACGTTGTGAACAGTATTAAACTAATTAGGAAAATAAAACCAATCGATAAGAAAACGTTTTCCGAAAATCTCAAGAAGTTTAAAGAACCAAATAATTGATACATTAACATTGCCTTCTTCCTTCTATAGTCAAGATCTCAGTCGCATATTCTAATTTCACTAATAAGTGAGGGGTGAAATTTGGATATTTAAGATTTTTCAAGTCCCTTTTTTTCCCTTAAAAAGTTAACTCACCATGCAATTTGTTTTCTTTTCTCCCTAATTACTATTATTTGTAGCTGAGCAACCACCTTTAGTAGACTCAGATGATGATATTGACGATGATGATGATGAGGTTAGTTAATATATTTGAAAACTATCCCAAATATTCTTGTCTAATCTATTGAGTTTGGAAGTTGAATGATTTGAAGTCTAAGCAGATATGAATTGGAATTCTATTAATAACTGACTGACATAAGATTTCATTCACAAAAGCTTAACTTCAATACCTTAGTATTTTATGAGTTTTGACTATCTCATTAGTAATATAATGTATGTTCATGTTTAAAGATAATTATGTGCAGCTTAAAATAAAGGATATTGTGCTAAAACTCTTAGAACTTAAGACCCTGAGTTCACTCTCTTGTGAAATTATGAGCCTTACCTACCACTTCATAATAGTCCATAAATAAGACAAATTAACTGTTCACCGTTTCATACTCTTCAGTGACTCTGAAGTTGATGTTGATGTATGCCTGAACATGGATGACCACTACGCGCAATGCTGACTAGTGTCGGGGATGGTTGGAAGAAAGTTATAGGCAGCCAAACCAAAACGTGGCATCAGTGCTTGAAGTCACTAACTTCTATTCTGAGCCATGTTGGTAGATGCAGACTACTTGGTTTGGGTCCGCGTGACTATCGTAACCAATGGTTGGAGACTCTTGGTGACATGGCTCAGAATCGACCACAATAGCGTCGGTGTATACACTCTCGGTCTCCACTTAAACTAAGAGATTAAAATCGCTTTATATCTTTCTTTCTACGAACTAATTCTTTCTTTCCGTACTATATCCTTATAGGCAATCTTTCCTTCATATATTACCACCCTTCACTTAACTACTCCTATGAATCCGGTGTTCATCTTGCTGTGCTAATGCGGTATGGCAACTTAGAACGATGCATATATGTGCCTGATCCTATGTTGTAGCTGACTGACTGATTGTCTGATGTCCATTCGTAGTGCGAACTATGAGATGTAGTTTTCAGCAAAAAAACACAATTGGATATGTGCTAAAACACTAACTAATCAAACAGAGTAATAATATACCTAATTCTAATAACAAAAAATTAGAAATCTCAGAAGAAGTAGTGATACGTTAAACAATACAAATCATAAAGAGTAAGAATCTTTGCTCATAATGCTTGTAAATTAAGGCAATATACACAGTATACACATATGCCAATAACAGACTGATCAATTTCAGTCCTAAATAACAATGGGAGGATGCAGGTAAATAACACCAAGTAAATTTAGAACTTCACCCCATTGCACATCCAAGTGGTCATCAGGACTCATTACCAAAGTGGATAACGCGATGGTGTTTGAAGCAAACGATACTGGGTTCAAGTCTCAGAGTAGATATCAACTATGAGATATAGGTGCATCCAACTGACGAGTCCCAAATAGTACGAAACGCGCGTCCTGGATTCCACTGCTAGACACTATCCATCTTTGCTTAAAAGAATCCACTGTTTCAAGGTTAAGAAAAATCGTTTTATGTGTTATACTACTGATCAGTAGGCAGCTTCATCTTGGAGTGAATACTGTAATCAATTGTGTGTTTATTAGAGATAAGCTATTTCGGTAGATTTTAATTGTTTTCAGTTTGATCTGTGATGGTCCTAAATATTGTTAAGGAAGATTACTCCAGCTCAAATTAAAAATTGGTTACTCTGACTAATTACCTTTTGATTGAGAGTAAAGCAAATAGACTAAGTTGCGATTTACTTGATAGTTAGCATGATGATTTTGTTTTAATAAATGTCAGCCAGTCAGCTACAACGTAGGACCAGGCAAATTTATGCATCGGTTCAAGTATGTAATTACAGTAGATTGAACTCCATGTAATACTCACCGAAATTTTTGAAGGTGATATAAATGTTCCCTATAAATACTTCCGATTTCAGTAGTTTACTTATCAGATATCTGTTTCATTTGTTCATAAAATCAGTGAAATGACTTGAAAGTCACTCTCGATTTTGTGTTCTTTATTTTTTATTTATTTGAACACATAAATATTAGTACAAAGGGGCACCGTATACATATGCGCCACCCAAGTTACTTGATACATATGAGGGCTGGGTGCACAAACCGAAGCAAGTGGTTTTCTTAGTGGGCCACACCTGGAGCCTTCGACCTAAAGGTCTGATCCACATGGCAGTGGAGCAACGTAAGGAAACGCAATGTCATTGTAGCCGGTGACCAACAATAGGTTTATACGCCATTTGTTCCTCCAGAATACTGGGTCCCATGCGCACAATTGGTTTGGAATCAGTGTTTTCCAACTCCCTTGGGTGGACCTTCCATGTCCACCAATCCGGTTAAAGCGTTGGATATTTGCTTTTCATACTCTGAGTTTTGTAAACAACAGTAATGCTCTGAGAAGGTAGTGAGCAAGAATTCGCTGGCAGTGGTTGTATACGCGTGGCCATATGAGAGCATTTGGAGACAGGGAGCTGACTCTTTCCACCCATGGCCGTACCAGAGCTTCTGGGGGCCAATTTTATGTTCATTAAGGTATAATTTATTATGAGTGATGATCCTTGGAAGAAAATAGGAGCTTTAGAGAATCTTCTCTACTCTGTATTGCTTTGATTTTTTTCAGCTGTTGATTAATTTTCAGCAACTTTGAGATGATATTTGTACATAGTTTTTCAATCCTGAAAGATCGCTGAAGTTCGATGTTTTCTCTCATTTAAATAATTGATAATCAATTTTTAAACTTAGTTTCCACTCCTATTACCTATTCAAGATTGTATCATGTATTATATGCTCATATAATCATGTACTTGAATTTTTATACTTTATTTAGGAGGATGCATCAGTATTAGAAGGTGACCTCGATCGGCAAGATTTACCTCCACCAGATCAAAATGATTTATTGATGTTAACTGGTTCACAGACTATTCATTATGATCCACATATATGGGTTGGTGAAGGTTTATTAAAGCATGATTATGCCATAGAAACAGTAGTGAAAAATGATGCTAACCATTGTATTGATTGGTGTAAATCATCATGGAATAGAGACAATGATGTAAGATTGTCTAATAATAGTTTTCGAAATGATTTACCTCTTCAACGGCCTACAACACCTAGTCAACGTTCTGCTCGTAATTCAATATCTGAAAATCATCCGTCAATAGGCAATAGAAATCAATTGTATGTACCATTTTACAAGTATATATATATGTGTATATATAAATCTGGTGTAGTTCGGATTTTCTTAAAAATTAAAGTCGGATATGATGCAACAATAATCATGATTCTTTGAGATCAAGGATGATTGTAGGTGATACTTCACATTTAAAACGGTTTCTCATTACATTCAACATTATTAGTCTGAAGGAAACAATTCACTGTAAAAAGGCTGAGCCAAAGGGGTTTCAGAAGACTGTAACACATAACGTTAGGTTTTTGTAAAAGTAGAGTAGAACAAAGACTTCTTTGTTTTGTGCTCAAATGACATAGTAAAACAAAGCCGAAACTTTGATGCTTGAATATATATTTAATTGAACTATCATATAAAAAACAATTTCAATTGTTGTAATCATCCCTTGAAAGTCTTGAACAATTCGTTACTTAAGAAATTCTTATCCATCTAACTACACTACGCTAGTTTTAGTGTTTTTCCTCAAAAGAAGCATTTACTATTACTCTGATGTAGCTCGTTCATTTGATGTATGTGTTATAACTTGTGGCCTATGTACCCTATTAATGTATACGTAATGATACCGCCAATTAGAGAGCAGTGAATTATCGATCGGATCTATGACGCGTGAAATCCGTACGAGCAGTCTAGAGTAGTTATAGGTCCTGCTTCCTGCCTAACCTCGACCAGTTAAGTCCAGAACACCAATATCAGCCTCTGCAACATGAATAGTTTAGTTATTTAATCATTATACGATAAAAATACACGTATAATATTGGTCTATAAATGGATCCCAAAAGTTACCATTCATTATGCTTATCGGGGCAATAACAGTATGTAAGACAGGTGGAGCTAGAGGGTAAAACAGTTTACCCCACCTAACTTTTTTGATAGTTAGCACTCATCATCAAAGTTTGTCTGAAGTCCTGAGTGAACTAAAAAAACTCACCGTGTGATATTCGAAAGGGTGTTTATGATAATTAGAAGTATTCGAATATATGTGCTAACAAAGAATTCCTGAAGTAGTGCACTTTAAGCCATGTAGAATTAGATGAACACAAATGAATGTCTTATATTTGGAAATCGCAATAAGCACTCAATCAAGTACAAATCAATCATCAGTTAGTACAAGTTCCACAATGTTATCTGGTTTCATTGTTAAAAGGTGTACCACGAAACCATTCAACTGGTGATTGACCTTTCTTTTAACGTATAAAACACAAAGCTTTTATCATCAACACAGTTTGTTAGTGATTACAATGAAAGATTTTCTAAAAGTATATACAGTTGGCAAGTTTCTGCAATGTTCAATAAAATTTCATTGACTTTGTTATTAATGACTGGTATACTTCACAGCAATACCCTCTGGTTTACATTGTCTGTCTGACGAGGCCTTTAAAAATAGAGTATACTTGTGAGTTAACAGTATTCGATCAGAGATTCCTTCAAAGAACTACTCGTGTGTGTTTAGATCAACCGGCGAAGAATCGTGATGCCAGATATAATGCACTAAGTAAGCATATAGGATCGATTACTGAAGTAATGAGTCTTTGTTGATTGAGATGGATAGAACAAGTATGACATATGCCCAACTACGGTGAACCTCGACGCATGATGTTTACTGGTGTTGGAGTAAGTTGGAATAAAAGCTAGAAGTGGTTAAATCATAACTTGCATTAGTACAGTCAACTACAGATTATCTGATCCTTTTAATTGATGCAGTCCATCTATAAGAGTTATGTGAGATAATCGAGATTACTAAAGAAAACTTCAAATGTTTCCTAAACAATTGTAGTTTCTGACAAATCAAATACACGAAGATTTATTCTGGTTTACTACTTCTCTGTATTATCAAAAAGTTGCTTAACGAGGGAGAAGTTAAACCATACTTCATGTTCTGAATAATCTCATTGGATAGTTCATTCTTTTGTTGAACCAATCAATAAACGTTCATCATTCAAACTGTTAATTCTTGTAGTATTACTTACTTACTTACGCCTGTTACTCCTAATGGAGCATAGACCGCCGATCAGCATTCTCCAACCCATTCTGTCCTGGGCCTTTGCTTCTAGTTCCATCCAATTCTTGTTCATTCTTCTCATGTGTATCTGTATCCTTTTCACGGCGTAATGTGTTCTTTGGTCTTCCTCTTCTCCTTTGGCCTTGAGGATTCCATGTGATGGCTTGTCTTGTGACACAGTTGGGTGCTTTCCTCAATGTGTGTCCTATCCACTTCCAGCGCTTCTTCCTGATTTCTTCCTACGCTGCGATCTGGTTTGTTCTCTCCCACAGTACGTTGTTGCTAATAGTGTCCGGCCATGGATCCAAAGTATTTTGCGTAGACAACTGTTAATAAACACTTGTATCTTCTGGATGATGGCTTTCGTAGTTCTCTAATTTTCTGCTCCATACAGTAGAACTGTGTTGACATTTGTATTGAAAATTATGACCTTTGTGTTGGCTGACAGTTGTTTCAATCCTTGTAGTATAACGCTATCATATATGTATGCTTTTGTTTTGTTTTATTTCAAATACAATTCTAGTTTAATTATTCATGAATACGAAGAAAGTTGTCATCAAATTGATTTACGTGACAGTTTAGCAACAATTACACAAAGTTTTGCTGATGGTAAGTTACATTAAAATAACTAAATGTATCATTTAACTATGGTTAAGATTTTCGACTTCCAAGTTCGAACCTCGCCTTATTTACTTTCGTTTTAGCGATTGAGCGCTGTCATTAGTTATTACACTCAGAGTGAGATTCATACTCAAGTACTAGACCAACTAACTCTCAAAAAGTGCGTTAGAGATGTTCAAATGATAATAAGAACTAAACATATTCACCAAAAATTACACATAAGAATTAGTCTTTCTAATAAATAATCTACACGACATTGTACTGTTAAAAATGCATCATTTTCCGTTTGTTTAGATGAAACAGTTAATAAAATGATGTCATTATTGACTTGCGAAATACTAGATACTGTCATGTTGTCTTATGTATGTAATTCACAGATTGGTTCATGGAGTATGGGCATTTTGATGGAGTTTTGTTATCTGAGCTGAATGGTTTCGTCGTGGGGCTTTCATCATCCTCCTGAACGACATCATCCGCTGTACAAACTTTAGGTAGAATTGAAGGGTTCGAATGTCTCTGCATATGGTTCACAGTTTGATCCTGTACACCTCGGTGTTGATTTTATGAGCATGTATGTAGTAAAATCTTATGAAAAATAATTTATAGTAATGTTGAGTTCTCCTAACTGAATTGTTTAATTGAAGCAGCACTACTCAAAGCATCCATTTGAGCTACAAATTTACTCCTCGCGGAGGAGCATAGGCTGCCGGACATCCAAATCTGTCCTGAGTAATCCTTTCCATTTCTTTCCAGTTCCTATTCATCCTTTTCATATCTGATTCCATTTTCTGACGTAGTACTCATTGGCCTTCTTCTTTTCTGTTTCTCTTCAGGATTCCAAGTTAGCGCTTGTCTCGTGTTGCAGTTTTGTGATTTCTTCAATGTATATCCTATCCACTTCCAATGTCTTTTCCTAATTTCCTTTTCAGCTGGAAGCTGGTTTATTCTCTCCTACAGTAGGCTATTGCTGATAGTATCCGTCCAATCGATATTGAGTATCTTGTGTGGACAATTGTTTAGAAATACTTGTACATTTTTGATGATAGTTGTGATAGTTTTCCTAAATTCAGATCCGTACAGTAGAACTTTCTTGACGTTCGTATTGAAGATTCTGACTTTGATATTGACTAAAAGACAGTTGTTTCGAATCAACTGCAGGAATGCAACCCTTGCATTGTCAATCCTCGACTTTACGTCTGCATGAGATCTTCTATGTTCATCGATGACGCCTCCTAGGTACATGAAAGATTTCATATCTTCCAGAATTGCTCCATCAAGTGTGATTGAATTGATGTTCTTTGTGGATGTTGCGTTTTCCTTTGTATCTAATGAGACTTATTGAAGTCACTTTTATTCGATACTGTTGTATAGTAATCACATCAAAATCATCTTTTCTTTTAAATATTTCTATAATTGTTATGATTATTTTCATTTAAACATAGAAATAACACCAAGATGTACAACACCTAATGACAAGTTCACATCATCTAACAAGGATACATTCAAAGAACTTTCAACAGATAAATCAAATGATGAAACAAATGTTAAAAAAATTTTTATTAATCGACAAGAAGGTCAAGGTATATTTCAAAGTCGACCAAAACTTTTACGTACACCAGATTCTTCACCACCAGAAAATAAAAAGTTTACTAAATACAATAATAATACTACATATATGAATGATGTTCATGTTGATGATGACGATAATGATGATGATGATGATGATGATAACAGTTCGACTAATCGAAGAAAAGCAAGACAATCACCAGATTCCACTGTATCAAGTAGTACACATAATAAATCAATAATTGATAATAATCTACTATTCAATAATACTGAAATTGATTTACAATATTCTGATAATAAAAATAAACAAAAATGTAAGTTTTTTTTTTTCAATATTTTATAATTAGTCAGAATAATTTCTAACTAATTATAATGTAGTATGACGATTCGAACTGATGTATGTATGTACGAAGTTCTACATTGTTACTGACTGACTGGTTGACTAAGTCAGGATAATTTATTGAATCATATAAAAGTATGTATGATCTATATTTTAGATGATGGTTAAAGGTAGTCGACAGGAAACTCTGGATCTGGGTTTCGTGCTACTTGGCACTCGTCAGCAAGGGAACTGGTGCTCCCTGACAAATTCGATCCTATGTCACCCAGCTATCTTTTTGACTACCTCCAACTACCATCTAATCTCAACATAGTGCACGCAGTGTCGAGTGACCTAGACTAGTAACCACATTCCAACTTGGTCGATAGCATTCGATTTGTATTAAAGAAGGACTTGACACACACAACATTGATCATCACTCAGTGATCAATCAATTGTGAATCTATATTTAAGATTATTTATATATCATTCACTATGTTGAATAAGTTGATCTTTCAGTATGTACGTGAACATTTATCCGTATTATGATATATGTGTAGTCATTTAGTGATGACTGAATTCTGTCGGTCAAGTTGTAGTATAGTCGTTAACCTAAGTGATTTGACATTGCATTTATTGTATGGTGTAGTATTTATGTTAATGAAGTTAGTTGTTTGTTTGTCATTTATTTTAATAAGTTAGAATTTGATACAAATGAGTATCAATTCGGTGAGACTATAATTTATGGATGACCTTTTGGTGACGTTGGATCGACCTTGAGAGTGTTCATCTAATAACTAGGACTGAATAAAGGTTATAGGCCAGTGTGAGGAATTAAAATTATGATTTACAATTGATGGTTAGCGTTAAGAAATGGATTTAGGGTTTACATCACGAATTGATATCAGCAATAATGCTAAAACTCTATTTAGCCAAATACATGCTTACTTCCTAACGCCTGTTACTTCCAATGGAGCATAGGCCGCCGATCAACATTCTCCAACCCACTCTATCCTGGACCCTCCTTTCCAGTTCTATCCAATTTTCGCTCATTCTTCTCATTTCTCTCTATTTTCATTTCGCGGCGTAATGTGTCGTTTGGTCTTCCTCTCCGTCTTTGGCCATGAGAATTTCAAGTGCGAGCTTGCCCTGTGACGCATTTGGGTGGTTTCCTCAATGTGTGTCTTATCCACTTTCAGCGCCTCCTCCAAATGGATGAGTGAATTCCGAGGCCAAAATCGGAGACCTGTTATCTCATACCTGATTGGTTCGTTCATAAATTATAGTCTCGCCAGATTTTTGAAAATAGATACAGCCTAATTAATTGATTACGCAATTAACAGATGGACAACTATCATGAATCAAAGTTTGTGCAAATTGGCAAACATCAAGCAATCGGTAGATGGCTCTAAAACTAGGCTTCTTAATAGTTTACACTCATCTGAAAAGTGTTTTTTTCAATCTTGGGACAACTGGTGCTTATTGTAAGATCACACTTGTCGCTTAGTATCACAGTCAAAAACGCTGCTAATCGCCTATTCCGTTATTGACTGACGATTTGTCTAAATGAGATATTTACATTGATTAATCATTTGATAGTAACAATAAGGACGTTTATCTAAATGTTAGTGATGATTGAGTTTAATCGACCGAGTTACTTTATGGTCAAAAGTTTGATCGATTGAAGACTGCACATTGTTTGTTATTATATCATTTAAGGTAATCAACAGGAAATCAACACAAATAACCTTATTAAAAAAATTAGTGTGTTAATAATTTTGTCTAGTTTGGTATAGCAAAGATTTCTAGGCAAAAATGTGAACTCATGAAGCTCATTTCATCCAATTTGGGACTCATCAGCTGGATGTACCTACATCCCAGAGTGAACATCAACTCTGAGATCCAGGTACATCCAACTGATGACTCCCAAATAGGATGAAACGCGTGTGCTGGATTTCATTACTGACCACTGTCCATCTCAACTTATAAATCTTGTGACCTAAGGTAATATCGAGAGCAGTGCGCAAGGAATGCACATATACCAACAAGGGACTGATCAATTGCAATCCTAAATAACAATGGGAAGATACAAGTAAACAACACTAAGTAACCATTTACCATTGCAGTCAGTCAGTCAGTAACAAAGTAGAACTTCGTAAGTACGTACATCAGTTCGAGTTGCCATATCACATTACCACACAGATACAATTGTCGATTCAAATCCCAGTGGTACAAGTAGTAAGAGTATAAGCAGTAATGGGAAAGATTAGGATTTGATGTTATTCAGGGAGTTTAATCCAGTGAAATAAATTTGGAGAGAGAGAAAATAAGGGACATGGAGAATTCAGAAAATTAGAATTTGGGAGAACACAAAGAGTAGATGAACCTGCGCCATTGAAAACGATTTTGAGCCATGTCATTCAGGGTCTCTAACCATCGGTTGCTATCATTTCACGGATCCCAACCAGGTAGTCTACACCTACTAAAATGATTCAGTCCACTTGTCAGTGACTTCATGGAGTTGTGCCATGTTTTGGTCTGGCCGCCCTTAGCTTTCTTCCAATCTACTCCTATACCATTGAACATCGCACGTCGAGGCAGTCGCTCGTTAGGCATACGTAACACGTGTCCCAGCCATCTCAACTGATGAAGTTTCACTACTTCACCAATTGATTTGCCATCTTTACCATTACACTATTTTTTTCTATTCAATATACCATATACAATACTATCTCATTTTAATAATACTTGATTTATTTCTATAGTCAATAAGAATAGTTCAACGTTAAATGGCAATTGATCGGATAGACCATGAACTAAACAACGTTTTGCATTTCATTCAATATTGAACAATCGCTATTGTTTATTATTAGCGGAAAGGACAACAGTTAGTTTGTTTGTGTTTTCTTCTCTTTTTTCTTAATACCAACTAATAGTTTTCAATATAATTCATCATTGGAATAATGAACAGAATAGTTGGATAGTTTTGTATGATTCTAGTTATTTGATTTCAATAAAAAGCATTTATGATTTTAATGTAAATATCATCTAGGTTTTTATTTTAATACATTTTCTTTCTGTTAAACTTCTCTGACAATATCGTATCAGAAGGGGTTTTGTAGATATATTATAGTAGTTTCAATATAATTGAGATCATGAGTCAATTGAAGCTAGACAACCATAGAAAACGTGGAAGCAGTGAACAAACGTTTCGTCCGGTTATGGGACTCTTCAGTAGTGCGCACCCACGATCCCACCTCGCGAGATTCGAACCAAGGACCTATCAGTCTCACGTGCGAGCTCTTAACCTTTAAACGACTGAGCCGCTCGGATGAGATCCAACGGTGCTAATGTCTAACTTCAATTAGTCCACGAAATTGCGCCACCGTCCACAATCGTCTTCAGTAAGTTGCTATCTCATAACAGACCCGGTTGAACTCCATTGGTCACTGCTTCTCACTAGAACTCCAAGAAATCCATCTCGAAGCCAGTCACTAGTGAGGTTAAGCGTTCGCATGCGAGGCCGACAGGTTCTGGGTTCGAATCTCGAGAGGTTGGATCGTTGATGTACACTACTGAGAAATCCCACAACAGGACGGAACGGCCGTCTAGTGCTTCCAGGTTTTCCATGGTGGTCGAGCTTCAATTGACTCATGACGTCAACCATTAAAATTAAAGTATATCGATCGAAATGAATGCATACTTTACCATTCTATACTGTAGAAAAACATAATTATTTATATGATCATATGAGGTTATAGTATTGTTTTTTTTAAGGATTGGTGGATCAGCAACTAGTGAAATATCTCCAAATATTAGAGGGAACTAGTTGTCCTTTATTTATGTGCCTAATATATATTATAGTCAATGTGTACAGACGCTTATTGATGTCACTATTTTGCACCAGTCTCGAAATATGCTTAATGAATATGCAAATGTGCAGTTTTGAAAAATATGTATTCTTGTGGTAACCTATGTATAGGTGTGCAACGGACAAGTGAGAAATACTGGTTTGCGATATAAAATCATAGTCAGACCTCATATTGTAGTGTCTTTTATTATGTGAAGCCTACATGGGTTGTCCTAGCTTCCGGACGGACCAGTTTCTTCGTTCACATATTAAGTCACGCTTGATCGAAACAAGTTGGCACGCTTGTTTGCTCTACTTCGCTGTCCCGCTTCTCATTCTTAATGTTTGTCGGAATAAACGAGTGTCTGAAATAAATCCATCCAACTCAATCCGTATTTGCTTTTTAATAACGCCGTTACACAAACGGGATTAGCCTAGGTAATATACGAAGTTAGACGGAAAATTCATGTTCTTAACATACTCATACGTTCATCCAAATCGGAGTCAGACCAAACAACTGCTGAAACATCATTCATGAAGTATTGAACATGTTATTTGGGACGTCTGTAGTGAATGACCATATACTATCCACTGTAGTGATTCATTCGGGAAGAGAGTTAATTGCGACTGCATCCAAACCTTATAAGGTATTCATATCTGGAAAATTAGTAATGATTATCGAAGTTAGGGAGTTTTTCTAGCCTTTAGATCTTCAAGGTGCCTCATCATCACACAAATTCTCTTTGTTTACAAATTAAGAAAACTAGTTATTCTTTTTCCTTTTTACATCATTTTGAATTTGTTCTGAGCTTCAATCTTCACCATCTGACGATCGTTCGTCTTTTGTCGTTACCACTACGTAATTCTAAATAACAACCCCTCCCACCCCCAGAATTTCCGTACTGGTCATATAAATATGGTGCGTTATCGATTAGTCGATAATCAACATAATCACTCCCCACACTTGGTATCTCATACGTCATTGAGGCGCAGAATATCAGATGACTGTGATAAATCCTTATTTAGAAAATACACCATTCTATGCATAAACTTGGAAAACCTAAAATTACACTTTAAAGAATATGATTAGATAATTCCTGTTGTTTGGTTCAGAAACAGCACAAATCGTCCAGTAAGATAATGAGGATTATGTAATAGCACGAACCAATACATGCATTACGAAAATGATTGCCTCATCAATCGTAATGTTGATTATCGCTAGTAACACAGCTGTTCGCTGTAAATACTGAATAACGCCCACTTTCTACTTATAACGTTAAGACTATAGACGAAAATTTATTTATTCATTAACCAGTGATTAATACATCAAAAATAATATTGAAATATATTTATAGTTGAATTCATCAGTCAATTGAAGGCAAACCATCATGGAAAAACTGGACGGCGGTTTCGTCCTAGTATGGGAGTCCTCGGCAGCGCGCATCCACGATCCCGCCCCGCGAGACTCGAATCCAGAACCTATCAGTCTCGCGCGCGGACGCTTAACCCCTAGACCACTGAGCTGGCATCCAACGGTGTTAATGCTGAAATAAACACCATTTCAGAAGTCTGGTCGATGGATAAATTTGGACACATTCAATGAACAGAGGTTGACTATGTTTATAGTCGAGAAAGTCAAGAGATGACACCCCTGAATCTAATAATTGTTTCTTAAACACTGAATTAACTATCCTTGTCAAGTTCTCATTTGCGTTTGTAAATATTGGTATGACTATTCTTCATGCCCCTGCGAAAAAAAAGTAGTCAGTTACCACTGTATCACTGAACAGCGATTGATACGAACTTTCGTAAGAAAGCTAGACTACAGATTTATGTGTTCCAACCGATGATTTCGAAACTATGTCAAATGTACACTGAATTATATGATTTAGCCTTTGGGGCGGTGGTCGAATATGAATATATTGAGTAAGGCAGCAGGTGATATAAACTAAGGAGTAGCGAAATGCGACTGCTTAATTTACAATGACAATCCAACCAACTCCTTTCACTATACGATAAACTGCTGACCAGAATATTCATTTCCTTGTCACATCAGAACACTACTCAATCGCCCACATACTTTTTCCCTATAACAACGTCCAATTGATTTCAATCATTTTTCTGTTTCACAGATGTTTCAACCTACTTCTAACACAATTTATATGTGCATCCACTACATTGTGTTTCTACCAAACCGAAGTCTGCCTATATCGATGTGGCCATTACAATGGTCGCATGTTTTCCGTATATATTCAAATGTTTTAATAGCTACTTAGTGTAGAGCAGTCGTATAATGATTCAGCCACATAGACACCGCCCGGTTTGGGCATTAGTATGCAAACTTATACTTGATTATGGGGTTCCTCGTCCATGAAAGACTAGTTTATATTACTTAGTTATATTCTAACACACACAAGTACTCAGAGAGGATTGTTGTTTGTCCTACTCCTACTTACTCAGGCTTTATGCATTAACTACAATCGCAACTTTTCAACACAAAATTTCCATCACACGAGTACCTTACGTGACAAGTAAGTGATTGTAGGTGGTGCTCATCACCAAACGTTTTCATTTAATGTATAAATAGGAACTATGAAGTACTGGGAATCTGTCAGTTCCTAGTATGATATCCTTTACTAATAATTACCCACGACTTCGCCAAAGATCTATGGGTCTCGCTGTGAGTGCCGCACATTAAAAACAGTAGAAATTGAAAGCTTCATATTGCTAACTCCAATCAACTCGTGATTTGTCGAGAAAACCATACATCGTTATCCGTAATCACTGATCCTCTATCAACATGACTCAAACTCACTGGTCATAGCTTTCTTCTGGAATTCGTTTCGAATTCAATAGTAAGAACAAGATAATGGTTTGCTTGAAATGTCCAATACTATGAGCCGAAACAGCTGTTCAGTGTTCCTTAGTTCTTCATGGCCCGTCGGTCTACTCCGGGTGACCATGAGTTTGACCACAAACAAAGGATGTTACGTAATGAAATTGGGCAAAGCTTGCGTAAGGACAGAGAAGCCTGGTGGTCGGAGCGTGCTAATGAGCTGGAAGCAGCAGCTGCATCTGGTAATTATCAGCTCTTCCAACTCATCCGAGCCACTGACAGCAAGAAGTCTGGTGTGAGTGAAACAATCTGCGAGGATGACGGGATACCAATCACTAACACCCATCGACGTCTTGGACGATGGGCAGAATTTTTCGAAGGGCAGTTCAACTGGCCTGCTGCTCCGGCAACATCGGTCAGACTGTCCTGCCCTCCATGGCCGGTGACGACTGATCCACTAAACGAGGAGGAAGTTCGCAAGGAACTCCAACTCTTGAAGCGCTACAAATCACCGGGCCCAGATGACTTACCTCCGGCTCTTTTTAAAGATGGTGGTGATTTTCTGACTAAGGAACTGACGACGTTGTTTACAAAGGTTTGGGAACTGGAGAGTGTACCAACGTCATGGAATGAGTCGATAGTTGTCCCTATCTTTAAAAAGGGTTCACGTCGTTCCTGTAACAACTATCGGGGGATAAGTCTACTTCCGATTGCGTCCAAACTATTGGCTTCCGTCATACTTCATAGGTTGTTCAAAACCCGAGAAAGATTGACTCGCGAGGAGCAGGCTGGGTTTCGTTCTGGTCGAGGATGTATTGATCATATCTTCACCCTCCGTCAAATGTTAGAACATCGTCATACTTATCAAAGGCCAACAATCGTAGTGTTTCTTGACATCAGGGCTGCCTTCGATTCGTTGAAGAGGACTGTTCTCTGGGATTGTCTATTGAAGAAGGGTGTGCCTGAGAAGTTTACTAACATCCAAAAAGCCCTATATACAAACACCTCAGGTAGAATGAGGGCATACAATCACCTCTCTCCATTGTTCCATTCGAGCAGTGGGGTTAGGCAGGGTTGCCCAATCTCACCATTCCTCTTCAACTTTGCCATCGATGACATTCTGGAAACAGCTCTGATGAATGTAAGTAATGGTGGTGTGGATCTGTTGTTGGAGAAAGACTTCTCGACCTTAAGTATGCGGATGATATTGTCTTACCGTGCGAAAATGCCCAAGTCATGCAATCCACACTAAACCATGTTAGTGATGCAGAAGTTCGGCATCATGTGTTCTGGAGCAGAGACGATAATCCAATTGGTGTCATCATCTTGAAACATCGACTTCGTTGGCTTGGACATATTCTACGAATGTCGTCCCAGAGAATTCCACATCGTGCATTA